TTTGACTAGTCAACCCTTGAGTAGCTTTCAGTACTTGAGGCCTTTAGAAGAATGTCTTGAAGAAAATAGGAGGGAAAATTTTGGGGTAAAACACCTTGCCTTCAGAGTCTCCAACACTTGGTCTTATAATGTCTTCACATTTTTAGAACTTGTTCAACAGAACATTGTCTTCAGCATCTTTAGAACTTAGAACATCAAAAGTAAAGCTTTAGATGGCCTTCAAAGCTTCCTTGCATAAGTCACGATCAAAAGCTCTTTTACTAACGTGCCTTAGAATTGTTTTATAAGAGGAGTTCCAGAACCTTGACTTAACTTGTAATACACCATAGGTATTCTTCCAGAGTGTTGAGTTTAGAACCTGATGACATCACGCGCCTTCTAACTAGAGTCATAACCTATTTAACAAAAGCTACACACTAGACAGAAACCATTAGAGAACACAATTGTTCTCTAAGATAACATGTAAAGTTATCATCAAATCTTAAGGTCAAATGTAGAACCAATCTTGTTCTCACATTATCTTCAACCAATTTTAAATCACCTAAACTTTATTTAGCAGTATCATATCATTCATACAGCTCCAAGTTTTCATGAGAAGCAATAGATTTAATTATTTTTATGATTTTAGTAGAGTTTTTATAGTTTGAGGGTCTTTAAGTTATTGAGTTAAGTATCTAATTTGTTTTGAGGTTTAATTCATTATAGAATATTTGCATCTAGTCTTTTATGTCTAAATTGTATGGTAGGAAGGAAATTAAGATCCTTTTGAATCTCTTGTAACCTTCACTAAGTGATTCCCCTTCTTTTTGTCTAAATATGGATATTTCGATCATTTTTCCAACATAGAGGGTTGTGTGGAAATATTCACTTAGAAATTCTCGCTCCATGGCCTCCCATTTAGAGATGTTGTCGGGTGTTAGTTGATCATACCATTCTTATACATTATATGTTAAAGTAAAAGGAAAATTATTAATTGGTTACCTTCTTCGATATGTCCTTTTACATTCACAGTGGTTAACTAGAGAATCACATCATATTTCATATCATTATAAGTACTATCGCTTTTATAAGATTAAAGCATACATGGTAAGGGATATAAACATGAACATGATAAATAATATATAAATGAAATACTTAACCTAATGCAATAAATAATTAAGTGCAAGATGCTCTGTAGAGACTTCCAACAAGAGCAAGAAATAAAACTTGCAGAATAAAAATGCAGAGAAAATAAATTGCTTGAGAATGAAAATTGTATGTAAAACTTAGTCTTCTGTTATAAGTTTGTACAAGTCAATATAGGCCCTGAGCCACAAAATTTGCACTAAAGTCCCTTAATTAGAAGAAAAACTAGTGGAAAGTCCAAAGGTCATAGAAGGAAACGGTAGAAAATTAAAAGCCAAATTTGTTATTAAGATTATTACACTCGTAACAGGAATTACCAGCTTCCCGTAATAATCTTTGATGTCATTATTTTAATTACTCCTAAGGCATAATATTATTTAACTTCTCAAAAATCATGATCTTTGCTAGAGAGAAAATTATGGTCATAATATACATTATGGGTTGATCGCAATTTCCTCGAATGCATACTTTTTCTCTTTAGTTTTAGATCTTGAGCACTAACAATTAATCTTGCGCCTCTTAAAATATTTGAAACGTTGATAAAATAGAAATATAAAAGTAAAAAACAAACAAAACAGATTAAAACCCTAGGAAAAAGAATAAAAACATCATTGATCACCACTTCATCCAATTGAGGACGATCAAACAAAGGTTCTGAAAATTGATGATTAAAAAAATCTAGTCATGTCTTATCTAATCTCTGATAGTCCTTCTAATGAGGATCGCCAACCTATAAAGCCAATATAGAATTTCTCATATTCCTACTCTTAACACAGACATAGAAAAAGCAGAATTTGCATCCCCTTCTTTTAACCATTTAGCCTTTAGATCTTTGGACTAACTAAAATTCATTAATTCTCATCAAGGACCATAAGTCAACAATGGCCTTTGACCTCTCCTCTAACTTAGACTCCTAGATGACACATTAATCAACTTGAAGTTCCAAATACACAATCTTATCTCTCAAGGTATCAATATGATGGATCAGGTTACCAAAGACTTCCTCATTATATATTTTCAGCACTTCCTTCAAGGACTTAAACTTCTCTTTAAGAACGAAAACGTTTCTGCCCATTAAAATAGAATTGATCTAACTAGAGTGGACTAGCTCCTTAAAATTACTATGAGTTTGCCAATGATCGTTAATCTAAAAGATTTAGGATCCCACAACTGATTAGTACGTTATCTTTAACAATTATCTTTATCAATAAGTACATAAAATAATGAGTTATAATAAAATTGAAATTTTATTATAATGCTCTAAATAACTAGAGATGTAATTGTAAACATGAACATGGTATATGTCCATAAGGGTGGATTAGGTGACTTTCATCTTCCATTACTTTGATAACTTTTGTTGTATTTTATGAGAGGGAAAATATAAATAAAAAAAAGGAGAAAAAAATACTGAGAATGATTCTAGTGAGAAATAAGGAGAAATGTATGGTGTTTTTGGCGTCTCAAAGGCACTAAAACTCAGCTCATGGTGGGGGGATTAGGTGACTTTGACCTTCTGTGACTTAGATAACTTAAGTGATGTTTTAGAAGAGAGAAAGTGAAAAAATAGATGAGTCTGAATGTTTGTATGAGAGATAAAGACAAAGGTACCGTGCCTTTAGTGCCTGAAAGACACCAAAACCCATTCCGTGTACGGGTGAATCAGGTGACTTTCACCTTTCATGACTTTAATAATTTTAGTTATGTTTTAATAGAGAGAATGTAAAAATGGAGAAAAATAGATGAGTGAAATATTCAGAGTGAGAGATATGAAATATTCAGAGTGAAAGATATGAATCAATGTATGATATCTTTGGCACCTCTAAGAAACAATGGTGTTGATAGATATGATAAGAAGAGACTTTGGAACACAAAAGAACAATAGATTGACTATGTGAAAAAAGAGAAATTACTTAAAACCACCGACATTAATTAACACTAATTTACAAAATTATTTGATTCGCGAAAAAAGAGAATTGATAAATGGTATAAGGGGTGTACAAGAATTTTATTTCTATAAGAATTTTATATATTTAATTTTACTTTTTCTTAAAAATTATACATTTTACATTCATCCATAAAAGTTGACATAAAAATGTCTGTATTTTTAAAAATCTTTGGAAAAGGAAAATATTAAATTAAATTTATTAATATTATTCAAATGAATTTGAAAATTATTCTTCAATTAGTTGGTATATTTACATTTGGTCAATAATATTTTTATTTTAAAAGGCAAATAATACATATTATAATTTGAAGAAAATCTTAAAAGATAAGTGGCAATAAAATTTTATAAGCAAGTATTATATATAAGAACAGGGGTAATTTTAAATTAACGTTGATAAAATTCTATTGACCATGGTTTTTTGAGATTGGCTAATAGCTAGAGTCTATTTAATTTGATTTTCCTGGAAAAAATCATATGTATTTTCTTTAAATAGATAAATAAAAAGGCAAAATAAGAGTAGAAAAACCATAACAGGTACTCTTCAAAACAACACCTTTATTTACCATACTACCCTTCAAATTATCTTTACGAGTATTAGTGATGTTTAAAATTAAACTAGTCTAATAAAAAATCGTAAAATCGAACTGAACTAAATCAAAATTATAAAAAATTATATTTAATTCAGATATATTTGAATCATTTTCTAACAGAACCTTCAATTTGATTTGCGATTTATATTTTGTAAACCGAATTAAACCAAATAAAATCGCGTTATGTTATAAAATCTTATTAATCAATATTTTTTTTTTAATTTTTTAGAGAAGTCAATATATATTATGTGTATATTTTATCATACTTTATATGATATTTATTTTAATTTATAAATCATAAAAAAATAAAAATAATTCATTTATAAATATTATTTTCACAAAATATATTTTATCGTATTCTTGTATAATATTTATTTAACAATGTAATCTTATCTATATTATTCTTTAGATTTAGATAAAATTATAATATACAATTTTATGTATTAAATTATAAATTTATTTTGACAATTATAAATTTTTGTATAGTAATGTATAAACAATTAAACACAAAATTATATTTTCCTCTATATTTATATGTATGTTTTAATATTTTTTTTAAAAAATAAATAAATAAATCAACCAAATCAATTCAAACAGTATTAATTTGATTTGGTTTAATTTAAATTTAATTTTAAAAGTCAATCGAATCGAACTAATACTTTTTCTATTATAATTCAATTAATTTTTTATTTTAAAATCGTTTAAACCACACTCAAACATCCCTAATAAATACGAGTTTAACTCGTAGCCACGTCCTGTGCGTTCTTTCCACCTCCAACTCAAAAATTACTTTCATCCACGTCATCACGTGGGCCCATACCCCTTTATAATCCTAAATGAACGACACATTCATCCGAAACTTGCTTCAAACTCAGATTAAATCCAAATCCAAATTAAAATAAAAACACCACCTCCACAATCACCATCTCAGATTAAGACACGTGGATCCATATAGAAATCTAAACCGTCCATGCCAGATCTCACGGTCAGTTTTCTGGGCAATCTAGAAACTGATAATATCCGTTAGATCAGAGATCAATATCAAATAAACGGCAAAGAGAGCTTCCCGTCACAACCACGGGCAGATCTCATCCTTTAAGAAGAGGCTCTAGCCATCTCTTCTTCATCGCTCAGATTCGAGTAAGAGAAAATTTTCAAACCCTAAAAGTTTTACCCTTTTCATATTTTGGGTTTTTCTCATTCGATCTTGACCTGTGTTTTCTTCGCCGGCGCGTGGGTTTTACTGCGCCGCTGACTTATGCTTTGTTCGAGCCGCATTTGGAAATTCATGCCGGAATTTCGCCGGAGTCTTGTCAGACGGCCGTGATTTTCACACTTCCATGGCTTCCGCTGTTCTATCCAACCGGAACGAACCTAATTGGCCACAGCATAGAAGCAGTGGAGCAGGATTAATGGGGAAAACACCTTTCTCTAACTCTAACCCTAACCCTAACTCCAAACCTAAATTAGGAAACAGCAAGAGGACGCAATCAGCTTCCGATGATGCTTCCTCCATCAACCGGAGAACGAATGATGTGAATCATCACTCTCAACATGTTACCTTCAACGTAGCGTCGTACTCGAAGAATGAGCTGAACGAACTCAAGCATCGTCTTGTTTCGGAGCTCGAACAGATACGTAATCTTAAGAATCGAATTGAGTCTGGTGAGTTTCAACCTCAGAGGAAATCGATGAACAAGAAGATTGGTAACAAGCGTTCCCTTCCGAAGGACTTTAAGCGGTCGAATTCAGAGATTGAGGGGTTGATGAAGGGTTGCGGGCAGGTTTTGCAGAGACTGATGAAACACAAGCAGGCTTATTACTTCAATGCTCCTGTTGATGTTGTGGGAATGGGTCTTCACGATTACTACGATATAATCAAGCGACCGATGGATCTAGGTACAGTGAAGTCGAATCTCTCTAAGAACGTTTATGCAACTCCAGCTGAATTTGCTTCTGATGTGCGATTAGCATTCAACAATGCACTGACTTATAACCCTAAAGGACACATTGTGAACACAGCTGCAGATCAGCTTTTAACTAGGTTTGAAAACCTTTATCGTCCATTACATGAGAAATATGAAGTTTGTGTAAGGCATGATCACCATTTTGAAGAGGAATTGCAGGCAAGTTCTTGGAACCATGTTGAGCCACCAGAAAGGGTTAAGAAGAAGAGGGAGAATCCGAATCCAGTCCCTCCTCCAGAATACCAACAACTAGAGCCACCTCAGCCCCCTGCAAGTTCTTCTAAACCTCAAGTAGAACAACCTCAAGTAGAACAACGCACATTGATGCAGTCTCCGGTGCGCACACCGTCGCCAATGCAAGTCACTCCAGTGAAGCCTTTGAAGCAGCCAAAACCAAAAGCCAGGGACCCTAACAAAAGGGATATGAATCTTGAGGAAAAACAGAAATTGGGAACTGGTTTGCAGAGCTTGCCACCGGAGAAAATGGAACAGGTTGTACAGATCATAAGGAAGAGGAATGGTCATTTGGAGCAGGATGGGGATGAGATTGAGCTTGATATTGAAGCTGTTGACACTGAGACTCTATGGGAACTTGATCGACTAGTGACTAACTGGAAGAAGATGATGAGCAAGATCAAGCGGCAAGCACTAATGGACAATGTGAATAACAATGTGGCTTCAAACAATGACAATGGGGTAAGTATCTTATCTTCTAATGCATTTTTTTACTTACTGTAGTGGAATATGGTTAATTAGTTAACTCATTTTGCTGCTTTTATGATTGATTAATATGACAGGAAGTACCTGCTGGTGAAAAGGTTGATGAAGTGTCACCTGTTGAGCCAAAGAAGCCAAAGAAAGCTGAAGCAGGGGATGAGGATGTTGACATTGGGGACGATATGCCAATGAGTGTGTTTCCCCCTGTGGAGATTGAGAAAGATAAAGATGTTATCGTTGGAGGCCACCCAAGTAGTAGTTCGAGTAGCTCGAGCAGTTCAGGCAGCGATTCCTCTTCATCTAGTGGTATATTTTAATCTGCTTCTAACAGGCTTTTGTTTTAAGAGTACATTTAAATTTTCTGTGAGGAAATAATTTGAAAGTTAAATAACTGTTGCAGATTCAGATTCAGGTAGTTCCTCTGGGAGTGATTCTGAAGCAGACAATGGACACTTATAGCAAGAATGGGGCTTTAGAAGAGTGTTTTTTTGAAGGTCTCATGATCTTCAGGCGTTGTGATCATTGTTTGTTGGTTCTCTGTCTGGGACTGTATTATGGTGATGTGCTGGAGGAGTTGTGGTGTGTGATGTAGATGTAAAAATGAAAGGCAGGTGATCAACACAAATTGTAGGCCAGAAAGTAGACTGAAAGATTAGGATTAGAATGGACTAGTGTTTTTTTGTTTCTAGTTTAACTTGTACACATATTAAAAGTAAATACAGATGACTCATCTTATTTTAAAAAACCTTTTTTACCTCGTACACATCGAAAACATGGGAACTTCAATAGATTAAAAAAGACTTTTTTATGCTTATTTAAAGGTAATTATGGTTGGTGTAAAAAATTGCGGGAATTATTCAAAAACTCATAATGAACTAAAGAGATTAAACGTAACATACAAAAAGTTCATAAAAAACAAACAAGTACGTATAAAATCCTACCAAAATTCACCTTTCACAAAGGCTTGACAAGAATCTTTAAAAAAATTATACTAATGCTGCTGACAGATTTAAATCTAAGAAGTTCAATAAAAGTTCCAATCAATGTAGCTTTGGTTGGTCTGTTAAGGGTGGCAACTATCCTTGTTCATTTTTCCAGCTTCTTCAAACAAACAAATTTGTCACCAAGTTGTGCCTCAAGGGCAGCTTGAGTATCAGGTGGCAAGCTTTTAAGAAGATACTTAGTGAGGTTGTGCTTAGACAAGATCTCAAAGACCTTAACACAAAACTTGTTTACTTCTGTCTTTCTTGCTGGCTTGCTCGGCATATTTGTCACCAACTCTTTCATTACATGAGAGACTTTATCCAAATTGCTTTTAACAATCTTTTTTGATGTGTTTCCCTCGCCACTCTCGGTCGCTAGTGACTTCATTATTTCCATTACCAAATCAAGGGCTTTAACTCGCCTAAAGTCTGATTTGGCACTTCCACATCTCTCCAAAATAAAACCAAATACAGCATGGCCAATCCATGGTCTTCTTCGAAATATTTCTTTTAAAAATCCAGCTTTGATTTGAGACTTCTTACTGTCAAAATAATCAACCAATGTTTTCTGGAAAATTTGAATAATTCCCTGCAGTTCAGACTCTGCAAAATTACCTGAATCGACAATTTTCAATATCCAAAAAGTTGAAGTTTGGGGAAAGGAAGAAATCCGTTTCTGTTGGTCAGCTGATTGCTTTGAGATCTTGGTTGCAGACTTCTGCTTTCTGAATGGTTTTGATGCTAGTTTCAAATTTCTCTCCAGCAGAGATTCAAGTGTGGATAATTGGACTTCAGCACCCTTTGGATAATCCTTTGCTTTAAATATTTTCTTTTCCAATATTCCACATAGACGCTGACTGAGCTGCTCACTAACTTCAGCAGTGTGTGGGTTAACGAATGCCCGTGCCAAATGTGAGTACACAGTAAGAACCTGAGGCTTACCTGCGTAACATCAAGACAACATCAGCCAAAGTGGAAAATAGCATCATAAAACAAAGCAAGCGCAAAAACTGACAAGTGACAACATTTGTTACAGTTTTTTTAATGAATTTTGAAGTTTTAAAGCTTTGGGCTAATAACTTATCAAAACAGGAATTTTTTTTTTTTAAACTTCAAATGAGAAATTGGTTTGAATAGCTTTTCATTAAATTTCACTCTTTTTAGATGAAATTTATTCAAAAAACACTTAAAGAATATGTATCCATCCTGAACAAGATGTAATTTTTATAATCTCTAGTAATGAATATTTAAATACTATCGCCAAAATTACTCTTATAACTCTTTTAATTATAAGAAATAAGTTTAAAATAGTTTCTACTATTTTCGATAAGTACTCAAAAATCATTTTCAGAAATATCAAGTTAAATCACTTTTTCAAATCAAAACGGTCCCATGAAGGTGGCAGCTTTTCATTACTTTATGAAGCAGTCAACTTTCTATTTAGGGAAATATTTAACATTTGTCTTTCTAATTCATCAGTTATATTTAAGTATTTAACATACAATTGGAGAATAGCGCATAACAAACACAGAGCTAGCCCAAAAACTAATAAATGGCAGAATTAATGTATACTTGCCTGGATTTTCATGAAGGAAAATTTCCAATAATGAAAGGATGCGAAGTTTGAACAACAAAAGCTGGGATTGAGCAGTTTCATTTCCTGCCTGATTTTTCTTCTCTTTGAAAATCTGAGCAAGATATGTATCCATCCTGAACATTGCATCATCATCCATCCCACTATCCGAATCATCGGAAGCTTCCGGATGCTCCTGACCAGTTTCCTCTGCCTCAACCACGGACTCAGAGTCATCAGACAGCCCATCGCTCTCACCTGTTTCACCAGTCTCAACTTGATCAATTTCTTCATCTTCAATATTGAATAAGTCGTCATCTTCATCATCATCTTCATCTGCACTAGCTGCATCTGGATGTCTTGCAGGTTTTAAATTTTTCTTTATGACTCGCAACATCCGCATCAGCCCATCATCAGTGATATCACTGCAAAAATATTTGAACACCTATATATAGAGATGACAAAGTTTAGATAGATAGAAAATTAAATACGATCGGTAAGCCAGGACATACAGGTCAAGTTTAAATTATGCATACAGATCAAATTTAAATTATGCATACAGACAGAGATGATTAAGTTTCAAAATGATTATTGCCTTCCAACAAAGAATGATATATACTATGTCATATATAGCCAATCAATTATAAATCAATCTCAACAAATCAATCTCAAATAACAACCAGGTAAATCATAAAAACAAAGTCTCGCCGTTATATAGCATGTTCATAAAGTCATACCATTCATTCAACTAAGGTTTGATTTTCTAGATGATAAGAAAATACAATACAGCAACAACAACCAAGTTTTATCCCACCAAGTGGAGTCAATTACATGGATCAAATTACACTAGTGTCCTATCAAAGTTTCTATCCAACTCGTTAATCTCAAGATTTTTATTAACTGTTTCTCTTAGTTTTTCTAAGTCTTATTCTACCTATAATTGTTTAACTACTCTCCATCTAATCTACTATCCTTCCAATAAAATCCAGAGGTCTACTCTTTACATGCCCAAATCACCAAAGTCTATTTTCCACCATCTTCGAAGTTGAAAAACAACTACAAGTAGAAGGTCCCTAAATTAACCAAGGGTAATTGACAAGAACTGAAGTGAAGGAAGAAAGATGCACTGGTAAACTACAATGTCACTCCAGAGCCAAACCTTTTCAAAAAGGCAATTTAAAATGTTGATTAAACAGCACATTACAGGGTCAGTTAAACCTGGACAGGTAAATACCTCACAAACTAAAGATCTGTAATTTTTCTTGAATTTTAGCAAACAAAAACACTATAATTCGTTAGGATGAGAATTAACACTATCTTCACTAAGGCAAATATATTCCAAGAGGAAAACATCAAACTCATTTCAATTGTGACTGATTATGATCGCTGTGTAACAGAAGGAATCCTCATGATTATATAAATGATAGCGAAAGTTTCTGTAAATTATACACCAGATTCATGGAAGTCTCATAGTTACTTACAGGTGCATGTTTATGTATCCCCAAATTGAAATGATGCTAAGACACACCATATTGACATATAGGTATAATAATACGGTGCTGTAATCTACTCGATCTACAATTATGAAACTACAGACAAACACTTTTCATATAACCTGATCAATAGCAGACCGCATAGGAGCTGATGACTGTGGAAGCAGAGAAAGCAATGTATCCACGAGAACATCCATCAGTTCAGGTGCATCAACCTCTGTATCATCTTCTCCAGAGGACTCAGGGTTATCAGGAGTAGAAAATGTTTTCTTGCAACAAATGATGAGTTCAGATGCAGCTTCTGAGTACTCCCTTGGACAAAGAAGGACTTGTAATAGCAACTGGATAAGCAAGTATCTCAGTGCATGATCTCTATCTGCATCAACACTGCAGTCGTGGCTCTTTTCCTACTCACCAGTGTATCACAGAGATGAACATCAGTATCAATGATAAATAAAATTATAATGCAGTTCACATAATTTAACTAGAAGATTAATTTAGTAACACAAATAAATGCAGAAACATACACAAAGAAAGCTAAAACCAAGATGTAAATCTCGGGATTCTATTTTTACCATTACTAAACACAGAATCATCATAATAAAATCAGACAGTCAACATTAATGTAGACAGAGGTCAAAACTTACACCAAGGCTTCTTATACCAGGGTCATAGATTGTGTATACAAACTTATACATGAAAATGCAACATGAATAACTTTGTTTCATTGGGTTATTCTGTTTAATTGTTAGAACAACAAACCGTCCATTCCACTGGGTTATTCTGTTTCATTGTTAGAACAACAAACAGTCCATTTTAGTCCAGAAATTGGCTCACACAGCATAATGATGTCTACTACACTTTGTTTTGTTCAACTGTCAAGTGAAACTACACTTTGTTTTCTTCAACTGTCAAGTGAATAGTGAACACAAGGAGCCAACAGTTGGAAAGTTCAGAATATTAGAAGAAAACTACTACAATTACAAATAATTTTTAAAACCAAAAAATAAAACCTCAGTGACAAACTCTTAAAAAATCACAAAACAATAAGTGTATACAGTAATAGTTAGTCCCAAATCCAAATCAAGGAGTTGTAGGTATCTTAAACACAACAAGGCATCCGACTACAACACTAGCCGATGAGAAAACTTGATGGAATCTTACACATCACATGAGAGTCATGAGACTCTATTATTTAAAATGTTGAATTACCAAGGTGCGAGCTCCTTTAGAGCTTAAAACTTGAAAAAGACCATGGTAAGTATATGTCTAAGTATCAATAATAGGTCCAAAGCATAAATACCTCTCTGGATAATTTAGCTTCCATTGCTTGCAAATCTTTCACTGCTTTTTCATCCTCATCGTCTAAAGATCGGAAAAGGGAAACTGAAGGAATATTGCATAAGGTGC